TTCGGTGTTATTGGTCAAGATATCTCTGGTGATGGTGTGGTTGTGTGTAGAAATTATATGTTCCTTGATGGAGCTTTGTTGTCTGTTCATTGACAGGTACCTTCCGTTGGTTCCGAGGATCAAGGTGAACGCAGCCCGGTCTTTGACCAGGCCTTCTGGTGTGGTCTGCTTAGGGCCCGCGCAGGATTATCCCTGCTAAAAAAGAAGAAAAAAAAAAATTCTGGTGTGGTCTGGTCACCAAGCTGTTAGATGCAGCTGCTCTCAGCCTGACGTATGGATCACAACTCGGTTGATCAGGTATTCTTTGGAGGTAATTATCTAGTTTTCTTTTGAACACCGTTCAAAAGAAATCAAATCGAAATCTATGAAAGAAATTTCAAATCGAAATCTATGAAAATTCTATTTATCAATGCAATCGGAAACAATGAAATGGAATCGCAACATATTTAGTACAGTGTGGATGGCTCTTACGTGGAACAGATGGCGCTGTTTAAAAACAAAATTTACCTGTCACAGGCGTGGCATCTATACTTTTACAAATGAAATGAACGGTATGGTATAGCTCAGTTTTAATGTTATGTCACACAAAATAATTAAATCAAAATGAAAATAAGTCGAAAAGTATGAAAATTTGATTTGTCAATGCAGTGGAAGACATTGAAATGGAATTGTAACATATTTATGATAGTGTGTACGTGTGGCTCTTACGTGCAACAGATGGCGCTATTTCTTAAAAAAAAATTGAATATTTTTACCTGTCACAGGTGTGGCATTTATACTTATACTTATGAAATGAACGGTATGGTAAACAACACAGCTCAATTCCAATACAATTTCACACAAAATAATTCAATACAAATTAAAATAAGTTGAAATCTATGAAAATTAAATTTATCAATGCAATCGGAAACTCTGAAATGGAATTCATAACATATTTAGTATTGCAAGTGTGTTGCTATTACGTCCAACAGATGGCGCTGTTTTTTGAAGAAAAAAAACATGTTTTATCTGTCACAGGTGTGGCATCTATATATAGTAGGCATGTAAAAACATGTGCATATTCGAATGGAATGTTGTGTCAGAATTTCAAAGCAATCGGTGAAGAACTTTCGGAGATTACAGCATGGGTTGCTCTTCCGTCCAACAGATGGCGCTGTTTAAAAAAAAAACGCATGTTTTTTCCTGTCATGGGTGAGGTATGTATATAATAGGTATATAAAAATACGCGCCTATTCGAATGCAACGTTGTGTCAAAATTTCAAAGCAATCGGTAAAGTGGATTCGAAGTGAAAAACACTTTAGTGAAAACCCCTCACGAAAAACACATGAAAAACAGTTTTTCATAAAAGCATGTTTTTTTTTCCCGTCACATACGTAACATCTATATAATATGTATATAAAAACCTGCTCGGATGCGAATGGAACGTTGAGTGAAAATTTCAAAGCAATCGGTGAAGAACTTTCGGAGATTAGCGATTTTGAACAAACGAACATTTCCATTTTTATTTTTATAGATATACAATGTACATTGGGCTTAATAATTGCTCAACAAAAAATTGCTAAAATGCATAGATAAAAAGTTCAAAGATTTATCAAAAACAGTATCAGTATCAAAACCAGTAAGAGGTATATGCACAGGTCAAATGTGACCCAGTTAAGTTGTGACATTAACCGATATGATGACTCATATTTTTATTCTAATTTCTCCCAGTATATAAAACATATGCATGTAGCATATTATTGAATATGATCTCAGAAGTTAGTTCCATAACTGTAGCACGAATCGTATCTCTCTTGCGTTCTTTCTTCTTCATGTGGAAATATTATATTAAAATTAGCTGTAAATTAATTTTACAATTTTATTAGCTTGATGCTAAATAATATTTTTCATTGAAGCTTCGGAAGCACAGGCAACGTAAATAGATGTTAGCTGAAGCTAGAATATACATATCTATGAAGGACGAGGTGAAGTTAGGTTTTACTCAGTCCATGTTGACTCCGTCAGTAGGTGAGGTGAGATGGATATTCTGTATTGATCTTGATGGTAGGATGTCCTTAATTTAAGCTGGCTGTTGATATGCAGTGCTCGACCACTCTCTTGGAACAGTGCAATTATAGTTCCCATTCCAAAACCTAAAGACCCAGGAAATCCAAGACCCATCTCATTAACAAGCTGTCTGGCCAAAACTGCGGAAAGAACGGCTCTTAATCGAATTGAAAGGAAAGCCAATCCACTATATCAAAATATGTTTGCTTACAGAAAAGGTGTTGGAACCACAGAATGCCTTACCTCCCTCCTGGATTAAATCAATGACAAACCTGGAATCCTTATTTTTCTAGACCTTGAAAAAGCCTTCGAGTTAGCCAGTGCTCCAGCTACACTGTGCTGCCTTGTGGATAAGGAAATCAAAGGACACGCTCTTGCCTTTGCCAAAGGAAGCCTGCTAAACCGAGAAGCTAAAGTCAAATTCCAAGGAAAAACATCGTCCTCAAAGAGGCTGGAGAATGAGACTCGGCAGGGAGGAATACTAAGCCCTTTCTTCGTCAACTGTCTTATGAAACAATTCATGAAGCTCAAGTTACAGCTGTTTGTCGACAGTGTGTTAAACTATTCTGCAGTCACTGGACCTGGGGCCAGATTCACGAAGCAGTTACGCAAGCACTTACGAACGTGTACATCTTTCCTCGATATTTGACGGCTTTGGTTACAATTATTAAACAGTTTCCTAGCATGAAAACTTCCCAGTCAACTGTTGTTATTGCTATAAACAGCCTCCTGGTGCTTCGGAACTCATTAACTGTTTAATAATTGTAATCAAAGCCGAAGATATTACCAAAACCCAAACTGCTTAACTATGCAGACGATTTTGTGGTCATCAGCAATGGCAAAGGCGCCAGAAACCATGCACAAAAATGCCTATATATTATCAGCAGGGAAGCGGAACGCATAACAGTGAAAATAAACACCAATAAAACCAAAGCAATGGCCGTTAAAATGAGAACTCAAGACATCAGACTCGCATTACAAGGACATGAAATTGAGTGGGGTTACCTCTTTTCAAAACCTTGGAGTCATAATAGACAGCCAGTTGAAATTCACTCAAGAAATGTAATATCTTCGGCAACGTTGTAAAGCCAGAAACTCAGCTTTGCGCTCCCTGACCAGTCTTAGAGAGGGTGCATCTCTACCAGTACTCAAAATGTACTACGTTCAAGCAGTTACGTCACTCATCGACTATGCTGCTCCTGCTCTTACATCCCTCAATGATAACCAATGGGAGAAACTGGAAGTGTCTCAAAATGATGCTCTGAGAACAATGCTGGGAGCACCTATATGGACGCGTAGAGAGAATCTAAGAATGGAAACTAACTTTCCAGCATTAGAAAACAGGATTAAACAAAGAATAGCCACCATAACAGCAAAATTTGTTGGAACCACCGCCAGACTGTCAATCAAAGATAGCATACACAGAGAGATAGCATACAGATCGCTTCAGAGAAACCTTCAATATAGAACAAGTGCATGGACGGATAATCTGGTCAAGATTCTAAAGAAAGTGGACTTGAAATGGACTAGTAAAAACAAAGGAGAAGATAGACCATATCAACACTTTCGGCAGCCTCCTCCATGGAAAGAATCGAGTCTAATGATAATCATTGAAGGATTACCAGTTAAAAAATCAGCATGTGACTCGCAGAGGCTCAAAGCTGTCATAGAACAAATGGAAACCATCTCAAGACCAACAACGACTCACATCTTCACAGACGGATCAGTTGATCAAGAAAGAGGTTCTGCTGAGGCAGCAGTTAACACTACCAACCATGAAGCTTACTGGAGCATGAATAGTGGGTGCTCAACATTGCAAACAGAATAATATGCCCTGAAGGAGGCCATAACCTATACAATTGAGAATAATTTACATGATGTCATCATTCATACTGACTCCAAATCTTCGCTTCGCTAAATCTACATCCGCCACCGATATAATGTGACTAACAGGACTAAAACCAGTGCAGAAGCGAAAAAGAAACAGAGAAAAAGGAGGAAACCCCACCTCCATTTCAAATTTTGACCCAAATATCACAGTAATAAGGTTATCGCGAATAACCGAACTCAACTACGGGCTCACCATAGCCCGTGCTACATGGACATTTCGTTCTGAGTAGCTAAATCTAAAACAACAACGACAATATGCAGTGCTTCGCCATGTCAAATCTTGTATTGTCGTGGTATATGTTGATTACTTCTGTGTTGAAGGTCAGGATATCTATGGTCTGGTTAGGTAGAAATTATAATCATTGATGGAGCGATGTTGTCCGTGCATTGTCAGACACCTTGGCTATCTCTGGAGATCGTTGGAGCTGACAGTCCCAAAGGGGATGTAAAGGAATAGACAACATTTGTTTCTTTAAAGACGTTTTGCTTTGAATTGGGAGAGTACTTCACGAGCAACTTACCTATGTCGAGTGTTTTAAGATGATGGTGAACTTCAGTCTGTTGAATTTCCACTTCAGATAACTTGACACAATGCTTGGATCAAGCTGTGGAGGTTGTCAGGGCTCGGGAACTTGCAATCTGACAGCAAAGGGGCTTTCCTGTAGGTCAGCTTTTTCCTGGTTGTTGGTTGTAAGAGACTCGTCTTCCGGTTTAGTGGCGGAAGTATGTCCTCGGATAAATATCCCTGTCGAGCTTTTTCCAGAGAAAACCAGTCATGGGATCTAATGCGTCATCATGCAAATTGTCTTCCTTTTCTGATTCTCATCAAACCCACTTCTCCTCCCCCCCAACACTCTCTCTCTCTCTCTCTCTCTCTCTCTCTCTCTCTCTCTCTCTCTCTCTCTCTCTCTCTCTCTCTCTCTCTCTCTCTCTCTCTCTCTCTCTTCCTCACTTTTCCACATTGACAAATAATATGGAATTGCCCTTCAATGTCGCAAAATTAATGCGCCATAGAGTGGCCCAGCCGGAGATAGACGCCGCCGGGGGTTGTGTGGGTGTATATATATACCGTGCAAGATACAGCAGCTGATATACCTGCCAGAGACACCCGTCCACTTGGTCACACGGCCGCCACCTGCCGGAGGAGCCAGGCATTACCCTCCCGACGCTGTCATGGCCGCCTCCACCTCCCTCAGGGTCCTCACACTGCCCGTGGTCCTGGTTCTCTGCCTGGTGAGACCAAGCACACTTACTCAACCGGAAAGAATATATATAATAAAGACAATATAGTTCAGGTGTTGAGTCAAGAGCTGAAGACGCTTGTGTGAGTGACGAAAACATAGAACTTCGTAGGAGCCACTAGCACTGTTATCTTGAGGTTATCTTGAGATGATTTCGGGGTTTTAGTGTCCCCGCGGCCCGGTCCTTGACCAGGCCTCCACCCCCAGGAAGCAACCCGTGACAGCTGACTAACACCCAGGTACCTATTTTACTGCTAGGTAACAGGGGTATAGGGTGAAAGAAACTCTGCCCATTGTTTCTCGCCGGCGCCCGGGATCGAACCCTGGACCACAGGATCACAAGTCCAGTGTGCTGTCCGCTCGGCCGACCGGCGCCTTAAGAGACATCTGGAGAAATGCCCGACAGACCACTGGAACATTGTCTAACACAGTGCACAGTTACAACCACAACAGACCACTGGAACATTGTCTAACACAGTGCACAGTTACAACCACAACAGACCACTGGAACATTATCTAACACAGTGCACAGTTACAACTACAATAGACCACTGGAACATTGTCTAACACAGTGCACAGTTATAACTACAACAGACTACTGGAACATTGTCTAACACAGTGCACAGTTACAACCACAACAGACCACTGGAACATTATCTAACACAGTGCACAGTTACAACTACAATAGACCACTGGAACATTGTCTAACACAGTGCACAGTTACAACCACAACAGACCACTGGAACACTTGTGGATTTGTTCATTTGATGCATCACGTTATTGTGATCTCTGTGTGTGATGATGTAAGGGCGAAGAGGGAGAACGGCCTGTTGACATAGCTCGGGTGCAGGGGGGGGGGGGTTGTGTAAAAGCCTGGTTTGTGCCTCGGAGAGGCTACGGAATCCAGTAAGATCAGTAGAACTTCGGTTTCAACCCTTTTACCCTGTCGTAGCTCAGTCGATTAAGGCAGTGTCTGGGATGCTCCCGGACGCAGGTTCGAATACTCGTCACGACCCTTGTGGATTTGTTCATTTGATACATCACGTTATTGTGATCTCTGTGTGTGATTGCCTAACAAAGTGCACAGTTACCACCACAACAGACCACTGGAACATTATCTAACACAGTGCACAGTTACAAACCCATTAAGATTTCAACTTAGATTCAACAGAGCAGAAGAAGTTGTTAAACACTTGGGACAAAATCTTGCTGAAGCGACCATACGAGTCATAAATACTCATACTCCGCCCAAGTAAAACAGAAACAAGCAATACTTAGTGGACCAGCGAGAGGCTTAGGGCCCGCGCAGGAATATCCCTGCAAAAAAAAAAAAAAAAAAGAGTAGGAGCCCTGAAGAGGATTCGAACCTATGCTCTGTGTGCTCCCAAGCAAACGCTCTATACCACTACATGGTCAAAAGCATTGCAGTTTGGGATTCAACTGCCTCCTCTAGGGTTCCCGAGGCTCACACTGAAGCTAAGCCAGGGTTTCACATAATAACCCCCTGCACTCTGGCTTGTAGTTTAGGAATTCTACCTCCTAAGCTTCTCTTTAAATGCACAAAGAAATCACATTAACGTTATGTATCTAGTATCAAGAATACCCAGAGCACAGGTTCGAATCCTCCTCACGGCTCATATTGCTTTTCTCATTAATACATAACGTTAATGTGGTTTCTTGGTGCACAGAAGTTCAGGTTAATATGACAGTAATCTGTCCTCACCACACGTTGAGGATCTCTACCCTCGTTTGACTTCTCAACTTTACATATATATTATAGGCAGGGAATGTTTCACTGATGCTCTAGATGAACTTTCTAAGTAGCTGCGGCATCTTAAAATGGGTTTCTAATATCTTTGTTTAATTACATGATCTTAAAATACTTAAACTAAAGTAGGATAGGATTTATGACTATGCCCGTCCGTTTTGTTTTTTCCCGACGGACGGGCATAGCATAAGTTTTTTTCCATTTATTCCAACTCACGGTCATAGCCGGGGGGGGGGGGGGTTGTTTGCATATTTTCATATCATTTATCAATCTCTCCCTTCAATCATGTAATATTTTCCAAAATGAGAATTAAAATGTGCCCTCCTCCTAGTCCCTGCCATTTCGCTCAAGGGGATTAAATGGCCGTCTCTAGTCATCCCAAAATTTTGTTAGCTCTGTGACTCTGCACAGACATCGCTAATGGTCACAGACGTCATGCAGTCTTCATCTTCCCTGTATAAGACTATCAGTATTTGTTGTAAGTTATTTGTTGACCATGACGTCATGCAGTCCCCACCATTCCCACTCCCTCGTCCGATGCCTTCCCAAATGGTCTGATGTTCCCATCAGAAAATTGGGAACATCAAGTAATCTGATGTTCCCATCACTAAAATATAACAAAAACAGTTAAAAAATTAAATGAAAATATGAAAAATAAAAAATTAAATTATACTCACGAAATGAACAGTATCGCAAACAACACAGCTCAATTCCAACGCAATTCACACAAAATAATTAAATAAAAATAAAAATGAATAAAAATTTGTGAAAATTCAATTTATCAATGCAATCGGAAACATTGAAATGGAATTCGTGACATATTTAGTATAGCGTGCATGTTGCTATTATGTGCAACAGATGGCGCTGTTTTTTAAAAACGCATGTTTTTACCTGTCACAGGGGTGGCATCTATATAGTAGGTATATAAAAAGTCGCGCCTATTTGAATGCAACGTTGTGTCAAAATTTCAACGCAATCGGTGAAGAACTTTCGGAGATTACAGTGTGTGTTGCTCTTACGTCCAACAGATGGCGCTGTTTAAAAAAGAAAATGTTTTTTCCTGTCACAGGTGAGGCATGTATATAGTAGATATATAAAAAGACGCGAATATTCGAATGCAATGTTGTGTCCAAATTTCAAAGCAATCGGTAAAGAGGTTTCTAAGATTTCCTTAACATGAAAAACATATGGATTACACAGTTTTCAGAAAAAAACGTTTTTTTTTACCGTTACAGACGTGACATCTATATAGTATGTATATAAAAACCTGCACGAATGCGAATGGAACGTTGATTGAAAATTTTAAAGCAATCGGTGAAGAATTTTCGAAAATTAGCGGTTATGCACAAACAAACATTTCCATTTTTATTTATGTAAATTTTTTATTTTTTTATATACAAGAGTTCTTAATTCTTGTACAGCCACCAGCACGCATAGCGTTTCGGGCAGGTCCTTAATCCTAATTTTCCCCGGAATACGGACCGTCAAATAATTTCACAACCAGATACCCATTCACTGCTGGGTAAACAGAGTCTACAGTTAAGGAGTGACGCCCAGTAAATCCTCCCCGGCCAGGATACGAACCCAGGCCAAAGCGGTCGCGAAATGGCAGGCGAGTGTCTTACCACTACACCACGGAGACTCAAGACTCTGGTTTTTGTTTAGTTTTAATCTAAATTAATAGATAATAAAACACTCAAGCAGCCTCCCTAAACATTTAACCTGTCCTCCAAAAAGAATGTCACATTTTGACGTATACTTTACCTAAGGCCAAAAACTGTCGTACTAGAAAATGGTAGCACCTCGCAAAATTTACATACTGTCCTGTTTTCTGTTTTGGGTCCTCTGGTAGGTTAGGAGTAGGAAACTGTAGAAAGGCAGTTTCTTGATGTTTGTATAGCTTAGCAGGATGGGGTTGAAACATTCACGGTCAAACATGATCTTCACTGCAGCTTTTGTTATGTCTGATTCCTTCAGATGTGTTGTATTATGGCCGTATTTGAAAATGAAAATAAATTTTGGATTTTTTTTCCAAAACAGTAAGTTACGGGTCGTCTGGTAGGCTTCGAGGGCAGGAAGCTCTAGCAATTCAAAACGTCATGAAAACCATTAATTGAAAGTTTCCTCTCGTAACCTAACCGGGTAAGCCGGAGGACTCAAACAGAAAACTGGACAGTAATAACTTTTGTGAGCCGATTTCATTTAAAATTACGTCCATTTTTGGCCATAGCGCGCATACGAGCAAAAAGCAACGTTTTTTTAAGAGGACGGATTGGGGTACTCTTTGTGGCCACTTATACGCAATTTTATTTATTTTATTTATTTATGCATATACAAGAATGTACATAAGGAATGTGAGGATACAAATATGGTAATTACAGTCTTGTAAAGCCACTAGCACGCGCAGCGTTTCGGGCAGGTCCTTAATCTAAGAAAACTTTAAGGAGGTAAATACTTGCAAAATTTATAGACAAAAAAATGATAACAGATTACATGGAATGAAAAAAAAAGAAGATGAGAGAAAATTATAGGTACAGTATATTAAAGCACATAGGTAGCTATGATTGATTACAATGACAGCTTAAAATGGTAGTTGACAACAAATTGGTAGGCACAATACAGCAGAAACACAAAACTTTCTATATTCTGTTTGGCAATTATAATTAACCATTTATTTTCTATTGGTTGATTTAGCACTTTTGTGTCGCGGTCTGGAAGCGATTGGGGATCGACCAAGGTAGAAGTGCCTTAAAAAAAATTATTTATTTTACTCTCAGTAGTACCTTCTGTGACTAGTAGACAATCTACCTCTCAGCTACGGGAGGGTTGGCACACATGAACGTCTTTGACACGCGTTCTTATCAATCGAAAGTCTTTCTTATGCATATGTGGAAGAAGAATTATTTCTTTAATTGATCGAATGTGCATATGCACACCGAGTGATATGAATGACGGTGAAAATTACCAGGTAACATAAGACGTGAGATGGTTGGTGGATATACGTAACTGCGCCTTGAATGGGCCATTAGAACTTCTGTTGTTCCTTTAATTCCTATGTTTTTCTTTTACTGAATTCTTGCTGGTTCTACGAAAACAGCGGCATTTTTCTAAGTGTTCCATGGACCGTTTCCTTTTAGCCTTTTCTAGCATGTTGGAAGGAATGCTTGTTAAGAATTACTCATTAAGAATTACTCATTAAAGAATTACTCATTATTGCTATCTAA